TATATACGTGTGTGTGTGTACACGTATATATATATGTGTGTGTGTATGTGTGTACACGTATATATATATGTGTGTGAGAGAGAGTGAGCGAAAGTCTGTATGTGTTTATGTATATGTATATATTTGTATGTATTTCTTATATATGTATGTATTTCTATATATATATATATGTATGTATATGTATATGTATATATATATATATATATATATATTGTGTGTGATTATTTGTACATGTTTGTACCGTTCTAGTTTATGGCCAACATATCAAGCATGCCGTACAGCAGCTGAGTCTTGCAATAGCGTGATACAAGCCCTTGGTGTACAGGCTTTGTTTCCTCCGGCATACATCTGATGCATTGTATAGACTTCGCTTACCAAATGCTCCTATCCTCACATCAAAGGATTGTAATACCGGTGCGAAGTGACTTCAATAGTTCTGTTTGATTTTGTTGTTTTTTTATTCATTTGCCTATATTTCATGGTGTCCTCTGAATTTGTCCAGTGGGCGCGAGCGTATGAGATGGCTGCGCTCCCGCTTGTAGTCTTTCGCAGCTGAAGGTATAGGGCGTGTTGTGTAATGAATGTACTTCCTGTTGTAGGACTCAAACAAGACTACAGCCTTTCACTCGTGCTTACTGTAACAAAACATATACCTAATGTTCTCAACTGGTTAACTATGTCCCTTGTGCAGCATTAGTTCTCGGCCAAGGCCACCTTGTACTGATGGCAAGGGATGTGGCGGATGCACCCATGCGTAAGGTGATTGTTCGGGTGTATGCGATAACGTTCGGTTTGACCGCCGTAGCACTTCTCCGTGCGCAGACGACGGAGGGAGGTAGTCTCAATGGGTACAACTGGATCAATATAGTTGTCTTTGCGTGGCTATCGGCCTTCTATGCGTGGTTTGTGCTGGTCCAGCCAATCGCGATATTCGAATCGCTGGATAAAGTGAGCTTATAATGTGTATACAAGACAGGAGTATTGTGCGAAACCAAGGGGGGGGGGGCATTTGAGGCATCCGATACATCGTAGATCGCCTATTCAAATCTTTCTCGACAAGTAATTGTAACTCGGGCAATTTGTAAAGACACCCGTCTGTATAATGAGTAGAACCGGATTCGATCACGACAAACACAAACGAGCGTACATGAGCGTGTGCCTACGAAAACCTATGAAAACATTATTAGCAGATGAGCGCCAAATATCGAGAAGGATAGTATATTGTACCATGCCATATGCCGTGGTAGACATCTACACGAACTCACTTCGGCGCCGATAGCAATGATACATTATCAGCGGTATCCCTTTGAGTAGGGGAGAATCGGTTACAAGACCTTCGAAGGAGTTGCTTATTTCAGTCATCCCCTTACCTAGTTTGTACTCTGCTGGTCTGGGTGCCAATTCCGTCGGTACCCGTGGCATGTTAATTAAATTTAAGAAATTGCTGGACCCTTGCTACCCGTGGATAAATGACTGTAAACCCGAATGTGAATGGATGTCCGCGTCGGTTGACGATGGATTCACTTTACCAATAAAGAACTCACTTACAAAATTGCAGATCCGGATGGCAAGTGACTATCACTGTATCACATGGCTCTGCCAAGCCAACAACTTCATCCAATATTAGAACGTCTTCGACAGCAAATATGTTGAGTCGATATAGATATACTCTTATATTTTGAGTCAGTCAGTATGGGAAACCTTGCAGACGGCCAGGCATATGAACATCCGATGGTTCGGTTTTCAAGTTCATGTTGAGAAGTTTCAAAATGAACACTGCGATTCGTGACGATCCCACTTTCGATTTTTCTACCCTTCCGAATTTCTCCGGTAGCGACACTAAGTACATCCCATTGTCTCGCTAAAAAATATGCACTTTTATGAAGGGACATCTCGTATATTACATTGACTTTCGTCCCCAAATCATATTTTTCAATCGATATTGGTACCTCAGACGTATCCACAGCTTTTTAAGCGTACTAGAACCCTTGAACAATACACATTGAAGAGGTACTCCATGTAATCATGAATGCGAAGAGGATAGTGACGAGGATGGCCGAAAGGGGTTACTCACAGATTATGACAGTTCGTACATTTGAGTTGATATAATATGTATATAAGCACTCGATTTGAAATAGACATGATGATTGCATAAGAAAGACAGTAATTCTGCTTCAATTCGTGGGCCTCGTCCAGTACTCGAATTCATTTCCTGCAGTTTGGAGCTGTGAGCGGCGGCTAAAAGTACCTATGCGAACCCTTTTGTATAGTATTCTCTACCAAAGATAACACTAACAGTAACAATAACCGGGTGAATAAACGAGACATCATCGACGGAGGTTCTGAGAATTGGAGGAGATTGAATATTATACATACAAAACTAGGACGTATGTTGCACAATCAGGCCGATGCCAACTCCTTTCAAATTTGAGTCGATGGACTAGCCAGTAACGACAGCTGAATAAATGAGGTTCTACCCTACATTGTGGGATTTACCATACAGTTGTACAGGACTGTGTGTTGCTTTTTGTGGTTCATACGGCCAGTGTCTTGTGGTGCATTTGACGACATGATATTCATTTGGTATTTCGGCTTCCTTCGGAAATCAAAATGTAATTTTTAGACAATGCGTGTATTCGTTACAAAGTGAGTATTCATTGAAATGAATATCTCACACAAGCTACTAGCACACACTGAATTCGTTAGATTTAAAAAAGTAGCATTCTAGTTCAGTCATGCACCTAACATCGCCGTGATATTGTTCGATCCAAGGCAAGAGTCAGTCAATAATACCGCACCCTTCACAAACCGCTACTGGTTAATCTAAAAAGCTCCCGGAAAGTATTCCTAAAGAAACTTTTGATTCTGTCGACTGCTGTCAGATACCAAGACATGGATAGTTGAAACGAAACGGCAAGAAATTCGTTTTATCTGTATAATCACTACGAGGGGGAAATGTGGAGAATATTCGCACTTGCGAGCAGGTACTGTAATCCGGTACTGTATAGTTGGAATGTTCTATAATCTATAGTATCATTTTTCGTGTGCGCGATAACAACTGTATTCTTTAATTGGTACTTGTTTGTAATCGATTGATTACGGAAGCGACTGAGAACGCATTCCAATAAAATAAGTTTGCGCTTGATATTATCAACAATCAACCAGGTATGCATCTGCATGAGTCCACACATACACCCTCTCTCTCTGTCTCTCTCTCTCTCTCTCTCTCTCTACTCTAGTAGAAAGGGATCTATATGCTCGCAGCTGCCGATAAAGTAAAGCGAGTGATTCTATTTAAAACGACATAGTCGAAAAAATGCTGAGTGCGTAACGAAGTCGGGACACGATACTCAAGAGTGAAGAGAGCGATGCACAACAAGCAACTCTACGCAACTTTGGTTACAAAGTAGGACCTACATATGAAGTCCTCCAGATAAACAGTAAACAGTAAACACGCCCTGCCTCCAAAAGTAGAACCTATGTTAAAAAAATTAAATTCAGTAAAATAGCTGTACTCAAAAATGAAAAATCAGTTGAATTAGTTCATTTGAACTCTCGCCTCAGATGTCGTGAGAGTCCATGAGCAGCTCAATATTTATATTTGAGGTTTGTTGCCAAGGGAGAACTGGAAAAGGGGCTTTTTGAGTCAAGAGTGCAACTCATAATGTGAGGAATATGTGGCAGTGGACGCTGTGGCCTCAGGAATCTGACTGGGGTGCGTTCTGGAGTTTTGACTCAGGACTCTGGAGTCTGGACTCAACTTTATTCTGGAATCTGGACTCTCTGAGTCTCTCAACAGTCACAGTCATGAGTCAAACACTCAACAGTCACCATATTACTGTGACTGGGGCTTGTGATGGGTGGCATCGCTGCATCAGCATTCAGCGTGTGGTAAACACACAGCCGTTACTTGTTTCTAAAAATGAAAATAAAAATGTATTTAATTCTGAAATATTTATTTCAAATGGCTTGGTTTAAACCGTATTTTGATTCGCTGAGAAGGCCTTGTACAGAATAGAAAGAGTCAAGAGGCGTCATTTTGAATTGTCTATAAATAGAATGATCCAAATATATACACTTATTTAGGACATCAGAAAAAGGGGAAAAACACAGGAAAAAATATGTGACCGATAATTGCAAGCAAACTATATGTCGCAAACCTAGAAAATTGTATCTACCAAGAAAACGTATAGAAAATTAAATTACAGTACTTTAACTACCCTAAATTCCATCATATATTCGCATCCGTTGTCGTCTGCCAACCGACGAAAACGTACCGACGGTGTACATTTTCTCTAAACCACTGATTTGCCTCTGCGAGTCTGCGATCTCCTTGCTTGTAGCAGGCTGAGCATTGGAGTCTGGACTCGTAGTCTGTCGTACTCAATGAGTGATAGAAGGCTCATACTCCAGAGTCAGTGAGTCGCCTATTTAGTTGCAGTAATCATTTTATAGTAATTAGCGAGGACGTGGTCCGTTGGAGCTTCAATGTCGAGCTGCTCACTCACAAAGCCTCCGTAGTTTAATGGTCAATACAATACCCGCATCTTATCTGGGGTTTTTTTATAGTACTATACTTTGCTTTACTTATATTCAGCCGGCAAAATACTCTGGACTAGCTCCTGCGAATAACCTCAGGGCACTCTACCTAACAACACATTCTTCACGAGTATACACTCGTTTGTGTCACGCTCAGCGACAACAAGCGCTCGACTCAACCCACAATCACTTTGATACCGAGATACTCTCGTAAGTCCACCGTCTCTTCAATCCACCATCTCGTCAACCATCTCGTCAATGATGCAAGTCACTGGACCTCCAAATCCCGGGGATAGCGGTACCTTAACCCCATACACAGATCCCCACCCTGTACAGCCAAATGTTGCCGTTCCGGGAAGTATGACCGTTGGTGGTCGCTCGAGCAAGTTCTTCGGCTGTGCGCTGTGCAACAAGTTCAGGCCATCGAAGAGGAGTTATAACGCTGAACGTCACATTTGGTATGTTACACGTTGTCTGGTTTTTCCATGTCTTCTCTTTCTTTCTTTCTTTCTTTTTCCTTCGATTGTTTGGTTTTGGTTTCTGCTATGTGAATGAAGAATACCTTGGCGTTTCAGCCATAACAGTCACAAGTTCTCACTCTTCACATTCTTTTTTTGTATTATGTGCCATGTGTATATCTCCAGGGTGAAACACATATCACAAACTGTAGTCGAAGGTTTGAGTGATTCCGATCCGCGACCACCATATAACGCTGCCAAACATAAAGCTCTCGTCTACAGACATCAGAAGAAGTTTTTCAATGTACAGCCTGATATTGAACCAAATCTTGTGGCACAGCGCAGTTTCTCTCAAGCTGACCAAGTAGCGCGAGGACAGGGGCCTCCTGAGTTCAAACAGTAAGTAACTGTCTTGTGTACGTGTGAATTTTGTCAAACTTTTGTACTTCAAGTAAAATTCTTAAGCGACGCATGCTTCGATGGTTTAATTTATTCTGCTCTCGTTCACTGTATGAGGATCACACAACTCCCCTTGTTTCTCATATATTTATATTAAGCTGGCAACTGACCAATCGATATCTCCCACTGCTAGGCCTGAGCAAAATCTTTGGGCTGTGCCACCAGAACAGCAAGCACAGCCAACCCAGCCAGTTCCAGAACAATGGAACGGCTACTACGACAATCCTGTGGACCCCAGCATGAAGAAGGGAGAGCAGCCAAGGGATGCTACTGGGTGAGTTGGTTTTAGTAGTTTGCCTTTTAATATATAGGTAATACTTCACTTATTTATTTGTTTGTGTAACTTTTGTTCGTGGTTTGCTTTGCTTGTCGTGAGGAATATCTGTGCTTTCCATAGTGGGTTTTAATAAAGCCGAGTAATTGATCTACCTTTGTTCTCATGGTTCAAGACCACTTACGTTCTCCACCCTGTATTCACTGATCGGATTTATTGTTTACTTATATCACCAGTTCATACTCTGGAGCGTTCTCCTCGTGGGACCCCGTATACCAAAGGCGCGAGGGCGACTTTGCCAAGGGTAATGACTTCTCATCCAATCAAGGCTACCCACAATCGACCTCACCACGCTACAACTCTATGCCCCAACGTGACTATGCCGGATGGCCGGCCGACACACAGGCAAGCGGGTACGACCAGTGGGCACCACAACAGGGCAATTATCTTGTGCACGAGAATGGGGCTGCTTTGTCCCAGGGAACACTCCCTCAGGGACCTCAGGGAGCCTATACACAGCAAACAGGGGCTTATGGAGGGCCTCAGGCGTTCGCTGGGCAACACCAGGCTTACGGTGGCTATGGCGTGCAACAGGCAGGGCCCGGCACGACTGGACAGCAACAACCATACGGATACAATCAGCACATGTACTGAGGATAATATCTATATATATATATTATATTCCAGTATGGTGTTTTTGTGATGATATTGGCCTACACATAATGAAGTTGTTTGACTCATGGTGTAGTCTAGGGATGCTAGGCGGATACGCTAGTACGATGGGACGGGCATGTGCCATACGTTAAATCGTTATATCTGGCTTCGCGTCCGCTTATTCGTACTTAAATGGTAAATCCATTTAATTCTTGACCATTTGGAGGGTTCGGTCACAGCTCGCTGACCCTGGTCCGACGTTGTACTATCGAACCTGTCGACTGCTATGTGTTTGCTAAATGGGCACAGCTACTTTGGTTGCGAGGGGCTAGTAATACCATATCACTCGGCTTTATTTACCAGCGTATGTATGATCCGCCGATCTTACAGTGAGCACGCCTGTGCGTTGTCATGTGATTGATGTCACATATGTACCTTCACAGTGTGAGTGATAATTTATATCACATATTTGCTTCGACTAGTAGTTGTTTATCGCTTGTGAGTGGTAGATTAACTAGGGGATCGGTACACAGTCCCCTGTAATATGAATTTAGACACTTCCGCGTATCCTCTCGGACATGAGTTGAGGACGTGTATACTTCAAATAAGAATAACAACTTGCTTTCGGTATAAGATTACTGTTACGAGATTTAGTTTGCTGCTTTCACGTAGCGCCTTCGGGTGGTGGGAGGGGTTTTTAATAAAATATGAATATATAAAATCAATCGAGCCAAAATCTTATCCTATCTTGTTGTGAGCATTTTAGTGGCTACCATCGTGAACCGCAGAACTGATATGGGCCCTAATTATGGAAGTGGTGATTCACTTCCTGCACGGAGTCGACATAGTTAAATATGTACGGAGTTTCCGCTGGAGGGTAGACGGATGTATATCTATATATATGTATATACATATATTTATGTGTATATACATACAAAAATGCGTATATACATATATATATTTATATATGTATATATGTATATATGTATATATATATATATATATACATATATATATATATATATTTATATATGTATATATTTCTAATTCTATTTATATATTATTT